TATCTTTGTGAAATTGAAAGAGAACTTATTTAGGAACGGAGGGAGTATTATTTTAAGGTTTAATTTTACTTGACCTTTCGATATTAATATTTTTCCTATAAAATATAAAATAATTTATATTATGGAATTACAAAATATCATAGAATTATATCATATATTTCAAAAACAAGTCGAAATATCCGTAACTAAAATCGAATTGGACATCGAAATTTCCAATATTTTTATATACAATTCTGATTCTATTCCAAACTGATTCGGAAAAAACAAAAACCAGCAATGAAAAGTACAACTCCACATTCGAATATTTTCGAATCAAAATTGGCTGAATTCGGAGTTTTCATTCCGATTTCCACCCCTACTATCAATTGAAAAAAATAATTAGGACAATTAAGGTAGCCGACATTGCGACATGAAATAAGAGAAGTACAAACTTCAAAAGACCAAAAAAAATAAGAGAAATAAATGCACAATCCTATACATACAAATTGAAGGATCGCATCATCACATGCAGTAAGATTTTAGCAACAATAATAATAATAAATAAATAAATAAAAAGAACATATTCTCCATCATTAATTAAATTTGTCATCATCTAATGTTAATTAAATCACGAGGTTTTCTGAACCTCTACGATACTCTAAATACTATTACAACAATTTGTTTTTTATTTTGGAAAAGCAAACTTAAATAACTTAAATACTATTACAAATTAAAAAACACTTAATTAGATTGGATTCCCTGAAGCTCGCATTTAATGCTCATCACATGATTCCAAGCTTCTAATTAGCTTAGTATATATATATATATATATATATATATATATATATATATATATATATATATATATATATATATATATATATATATATATATATATATATATATGTATATATATATAAAATATCTCTCTTTATTTTCCCCACCTCTCTTATTAATCATAAATAAAATATAATATATATTTTTTTATATTTTCACACTCTCTGTCTCTTTCATATAAATATATAGATAAAAAATTCAAGTAATCTATTATTTTATAATTTCAATGATGCATAAATTATTATTTATTTTTTTTTCAAAATTTACCCCTATATCTGATAAAGTATTTCAAACATTAATTGTCTCGTAGAAAATAAATAATTAATGATAAAGAGAACTAGAGACAAAGAGGGAGTGACGACACTTAATACATTCACTAAATAACGGTCAACCGCAGCAGGTTCGAACATGTGTCGATTGACCTAGCAGTTGGAACAAATGAGCATGTGTTAATGACTCAAGTTCGAATTTCCTTGCCAACAATCGCTAGCTGGAGCTTGTCACACACTCTTAGCACGAGAGTGTAGATTTACAGATTTACCCAACGCAACTATATAGTTGCATGTGAACAGTTATCCCCGTATGTTAAACGTGCATCAAATCCCATGTATTCTTTTATTGCGATAAACCCCCTTGTGTTTCATTTTTTCATGCATGAAATCCTCATTTCCGTTAATAGTAAACACCGTTAACTATAGAGGGTTAAACCCCCTTGTGTTTCATTTTTTCATGCATGAAATCCCCATTTTCGTTAATAGTAAACACCGTTAACTATTAACTATAAAGGGATTTATGCCAGTATTTAGTAACATAGGAGATTTGATGTATAGTTTTGCAACACAAGGGTAGTTCACCAGATCTATCTAGATTTCTATTTTTTATATTGTAACTAAAATTATTATTGTTCGACTTAATTTAAAAAAATAATATGAGTTTTAAATGAATAAATAATTTTGTACAAAATCTCCTTATATTGTAGAAAATATATACCAAATCTCCCCTGTTATGAAAAAAAAATATGCATAAAATCTTCTCTACAGCGAAAAAGGAGATTTCGTGCAAAGTAAAATGAAACACAATAGAGTTTTGTGCAAGAAAAAAAATACATGGGAATTTGGTGCAAGTTTTCGTCAACACAATGGTTATATATAGGGGTGTAAACGAGCCGAGCCGACTCGTGAGCTCGAAGAGCCGGCTCGTAAAAAGCTCGAACTCGAACTCGAGATTTTCGAGCTCGAGCTCGAGCTCGCGAGCTCGAGCTTTCTGATGAGCCGAGCTCGAGCCGGTTTTCAGTTGTTCATGAGCTCGCGAGCCGGCTCGCGAGCCGGATTTATTATTATTTTTTTATTATTTTTTTTATTTTTTATATGTTATTTTTATTTAAATAATGTATAATAATGTAAAATATTATAGAAATAAATACAAATATTAAAAATATATATAATTACAATTTAGTTTTTATTTTTTATTTTTTTAAATAATTTTTAATAATAAAATAATAATTAAAAAAATATTTAAAAAAAAAAAAAAAAAAAAAAGACAATGGGCTCGAGCTCGAGCTCGAGCTCGACACAACTGACACGAGCTCGAGCTCGAGCCAAGGAAAGAGGAGCTCGCGAGCTCGAGCTCGAGCTCGAGCTCGACAAAATAAACTCGAGCTCGAGCTCGAGCCAGCCAAAAGAGGCGAGCTCGGCTCGAGCTCGGCTCGTTTACACCCCTAGTTATATATGTTGTTTATTAAAAAATGTGCATGGATGAAAAAGAAAAGAAAAACTGTGAGAGTAATTTATCCGAATTTGTTATATATTAATACCACACAATAAAATAATAAATATAATTACTTTAGGTAACGAATATACCAATTTTGTAGATACTACATCAGATGAAATCCACTAGATAATCATGCACCATTGATTACACACAATAACACACATCTACGTATATCTTTGTTTAATGGATAATTATTTGTATAGATCGATAGTGTAAAATCACCAGTAGTTTTCATCAGGACTAGCATCTCATAGAGGATTGAATAAGTTTAATTATATATGGGATTTTAGCAATTTAATATAGTAGGAATAGGGCCCTACTATATATTGTTGAATTATATATTCCAAGGGGGGTATATGTATAATGTATGTATCATGTATGTATGACCTAATGAATTAAACACGCGTATTTTCGCGGTGCCAAAGAAAAATTCAAGTTTCAAGCCCCTACGCTCTTACTCTACTTCTTAGGGAGAAGAGGCGGTGTGTGTGTGTGTGTGGACAGGGAAGAGAAGCTTGTAAACATAGTTTAATAATGTGTGTGGAAGTGTGTGTTTTTTTTTTCTTGATTAATTAATTGTAATTAATGAATAAAGTATGGTGAAAAACGCAGACATCTTCACCGTCTTAAGACAAAACGACCTCTCCAATGCATTCTACATTTAATGCTCTTAGTGATATGGAAGATTCCATTTTTGGGATGTGGATGTTTTTTTTCAAACACCAATCTTTGACAATTCCAATTTTCTACGGTCAACTTCTTAGGGTTATTTTAGTCATTTTTACACATGTATGACAGGATACAACTCAGAAAAAAAAAATTCACCAACTAGCATAGAACAAAATCCAAACAAAAATCTAAATAGTTTTTATCTATTTTTTTTTTTTTTTTGTTTTCTTTTGGTTTTTAAGAAATTCAAATTTTGTTACAAATCTATCTGCTCGTATGATCTAAATAATGGATAGTGATTATATATTTTCATATTTGGTTAAGACCATTGAATATATATCATCTAATGAATTCGAACCTCCTTTGAAAATAGAGCACTCCACAATTTCCTAGATTTTTGTTTTCTTATGCAAATAAGTCTTAAACTTCAAAATTCTATTATAATCTGTCTTCGTCCCATCAAATTAAGCGTGTTGGTTTCGAAGAATTAAATTAATGAGTCGTAAAAGTGAATTAACTTAGTAAACAAAATTCATAGTGAAATTTGAATTAAACCTCATAGTAAAATTCACATATAAAATGTATTTTTATCATACCGAGACTTGTTGTAGTCGACAAATGTGTTAGTGTAGTTCCTACAGTTCGGGTTTTCACAAGTCCGGTGAAGTCAGCGGTCTATGGATTCAATTCGGAACGTACGTCAATTCGATGCTACTAATTATAAAATGACAACCCGGGAAAGGGATAAACACGATGATTGACCTACAAGACCGAGAGGCTGGGCAAGAAAGCATATTCGCATAGGCACGTGATGGAGGCAGTGCCTAGCTGCAATGGGAACATTTCTTAACTCTAAATTAATTAACTGCAGATTCCCTGTCACAATTTAGAGAATCAAATAATAGAAAATGTTGGTGCATTTATGGCGGCCTGGTGTGCTAGTTTCATATTGTAGGATAGGATCTGAAAACAAGATAATCAAATTTTCCAGCCACGAATCGAATGAACAAAGAATCTTTCTCTGAACAACTGAATTTTCAATCCATTTAAGTTTATCTTGTTTGGTTCCCAGGATAAAATTAGCCAAAATCAAATTATATATAATCTTGCAAGGAAGTTATAATACATAATAATTCCGGGCCGGCCAGAAAAAAAACCAAAAAAAAAAAATTTATTGCACTATCGTAATTCATGACTTATCTTACTAACCAAATAAGAACTAAAGGCTATCAGTTTATATTGAGTACCACTAGTATTCTCGGGTAATCGAATAATTTGTGGATATTCTCTCTTCCAGTACTCACCACCAGCCAAAAATGAGATCACGAACATGAAATATTCCCCAATAAGCCGCCCAACAAGCAATAATTTGAGTAATAACTATTAAGTAATATACCCCCTAAACTAACGTCCATTTTGCCCTTTGCCCCCCGAACCGTGTTTTTGTTGCACGGTGCCCAAAAAGTGGCATTTTCGGGCAATTTGGGGATCTTGTGCATGCACTATTCACGCGAGTTAAGCAGTGGCAAAAATTCTTCTGAGGAAGTTTTAATACAAAATTCCCCAATAAGCCGCCAAAAAAATAGCTCATTCTTTCCATAATTCCAGGCCGGCCAAAAAAAACAATTATTACACTAATCGTGACTTATCTTACTAACCAAATGAGAACTAAAGGCTATTGGTTTATATTGAGTACTAGTATTCTTGGGTACTCAAAAAATCTGTGAATATTCTCTATTACAGTACTCACCAGCCAAATATGAGATCACGAACATGAAATATTCATCGTGGTCCTTGATTCAGAAAAGAAAACAAGCACTCTGCTTAAGAGAACAACTTATCACACGATGGCGAATTTTCATGTCCGTTAGATGAGTTGATTAGCTAATTAGTGGTAAAAAGTGGACATAAGTCTAACTATAATCATTGTAAAGAGATAGCGCACTTGATATATGTGTGTGTGTGTATATGTATATATATAATATATATGTATATGTATATGTATATGTATATGTATATGTATATGGGGGAGCAAACTCTTGCCTTCATCAGGACAACTGTGGTAGACATTGATAGTCATGCAATTTTCGCAAATTACGCTTCACGATCCCACTCCTAAACCGAGAACTTCCTGAACTTTTTGGTTCAATAGAGGGGACTAACTTTTGAGTACTCTCCGTAACGTTTTTTTGCTTCAGGTATGCTTCGGCCTGTGCCTGGACTGACTCATCACAAACACCAAAATACAGCAAGGTTGAATCAAATGTCACCTAGCTCCCCCGGCTAAATAAGTCAATTTACTTTTACTGTATTACACTCTTAGAAAAAACAATACAAATCGTCAAGAGCTATGAAAACAATACTAATCTTGTTCGGAAAGAGAAGTGTAAAAACTCTGAAAAGCTAAAACAGCAAAAACATCGTTTTCTGGCTAATAACGAGCAAAATTTAACCATGCATCCCAATTTAGTTTTTCACATGAGCATGCTGCCATGCCTAACACGAATCATTGAATATTTGCATAATTGCAATAGTTAGCCAACAAAGCTTTCACTTTCACTAAATCCAACACTCGTCACTCAGATAAGCAAAACTACCTATCAGAACTTCCAGCCATAGTAGCTGCCAATATTTACATGTGCTTTCTTGCAAAGCCCATTAGCCTATGGATCTTTCTTTGAAAAATCCTATAAATCTTCATCCTATTATCGACCATTAAAAATGCATCGAACGTCCACATCAAAATCCTAGCTACTGGAATCAAATAGCAGCTCATTTAACAAATTGACATTTTTGCACTTCAAGCAACTCAATTATTTTTGGGGAGCTATCTACACATACATTCAGTACTTTAAGTAACCGTCAGTGTAACCACTATCCGATATCATATGACTCTAAACACAGATACGAACACCAAAAACAGATCCTATGTTTGACCGCCATAAATTGAATTTACTGATGTTTTAAGAATTAAGAAAATCAGAACACATACCAGAACGTGAAGAAATTGTGAGTAGAGCGGCATCCTTTAATATCTTGATTTTCTTGAGAGCAATGACGTCGTGGAAGAAATTATCATGTTTGGGATGAGCCGCACGGTTTTCCTTGGAGGGCGTAAGTGCCTTTTCACATGCCTTGATCAGAAAATAAATAGCGGAAACCTTAGATTAAGCACTTTGGCAATGCATTTTCACAGGAAAAGGGACGAACGATTATACGACACAGTCAGTAACAGAAACAAAACTCAGAAGAATGTCCAAACTTAAACAACTAATCACTAGTTTTCAGACCGATACTACTGTATGAGATTCGGCTCCCAATGTATAGCAGAACAGAAGCACATCGAAGCATTTGAAGAGAACAATTTGCATATTATTGGATCAGTTTAAGAATTAATTTATAGAAACATTATACAAAGATGCTAAAGGTGACTAAATTTCTTCACATCTACATCAACGATCAACCTAGGAGATTTCAAAATTTCCTAGACTAAAATTTCGGATGCACGTGCTTGCAAATCGATGTCAGTATCCAAATGAAATAATCAAATTAAACAAAAGTCACTGGCAGTTAAGACTTCGAAGTATACCTGAATTGCAATGGAATGGAATCCATTTTCAAGTGAATGCTCGACGAAGGTGAGCCATTCTTTACACGTAACTCGAAGCCCGGGGTTAGTTGTCGTCTTTTCGTTTCTCATAACCAGTGCCTCGTATCTCAAGGCCAAGCAACTCTGTCAAAAATCCAATCGCAGATTCCTCAGTGCCCGAATTAAAAAAATGTTATCAAACAAACTTTGTGTAAGCCCGTAAGCCTCTCTTTAGATTAAGATCAAGCAGACAACATTATTTTGCAAACAAAATTTCTAGTTACAGATATAACATAAATTTCCGCCAATTCAATGTTTCGAATTTTCAGGCGAAAATCGAACAGATGCCAAGGCAAATTCTCAGAGAAATACATCGTTAAACGAAGAGATAACGCCGTAATAAAAGAAATCGAAAGGGCTGTCAAATACTAACTAGAATTAGAAAAACAATGGATAGAGCTTAATACCTCCACATCACCAATCACAGCAAAAACACGAATCAGAAATTCAGTACACATAAGCTTAATCTCAACAGATTCATCGGCGATTTCTCGGAAAATGAGAAGCGATTCATCTCTCATGAACTGTTTCAGAGCAGATCCAACTCCAATCAGTGACCGTACATCTTTCGATACCAGAACCGAATCCAAAATTCGAACGGTTACATCATCAAAACTGGCAAAAAAAATTAACATATTTATTAAATATTAATGATGTACGATCAAATTGAATGTGAAGAATCGGGATGCAGAAAATTTTCCAACCTTCGGTTGTGAATTCGAGAGCGGAAGAGGGAAATTTGCTGCGCGAGTGAGGCTGGGTTGGACATTTGACAAAATCGCTGGCGGTTGAAAATTTTGAAGCGCCTTGGTTTATATAACCTGCATTACCGGGATCATCTCAATTCTGAATCCTAGAGAGATGGAAATTTGGAGGGGGAATTATACACTAAATGGTCCTTCAAGTTTGGGCCGATTCCACATTCAGCCCCCCTGGTTCCAGACTCGACAAATTACACCTTCCAATTTTTAACACATTTAGTTCGCCCGTTACACAGCCGTTTGAAAATTGACGGAATCAGTTACATGACCCCCAAATCAGGCTTAATTACGTTAAATATCACGCGCTTTGCACGTGAGCCCCAAATATAACCAATTTAGGGTAATGCTAGGGATTGGAGGTTGAGCTCATTTTCTTTCCCGATTTCCCCTTTCTTCTCCTTTACTTCTCCAAAATTCTCCTTTTGCGGTGCAACCCTAATTCATCGATACTCCTTCATGCTTTCATCAAAACACACCCGTCATGGCCAATTGCCCTACGAATTCAATTCGAACAATTGAAACATGAGGTTTTTTTCCACGCGGAGGAACTGTTACATATGGCTGTGGAAATGAGTTGTTACACGTCACCAATTAGTTAGGTTTCTTAGGTGGTTATGTGTATCAAAAAAGTGAGTTTGGGTGGACTCGTGCAACGTTTTTTAGTTAAGGTGGCAAAACGCAAAAACGGACAAAGTACATGTGGCAAAATGCTTTTAACCCTAAAACTTATATACATATCTCTTAACATCTTCTTTCTTACACCAAATTGTTAGGATGTGAAACCCATGAGCCAATGGAAATTGGTCGTTCTTCGGATCGCCGGGGACATAAATTACCCCTGCCCCTTTGTATTCTTGCGACCTTTATAACTTTCTGCGAGACGTTCTTTCTTCTCCCTCAACTGTCGAAGCTCGCGTTGCGTACCTTCGATTCGCCACTCTTCCGCCCATAGTTCCTCCTCCATTTGACACAATTTTCCTTGTTTTTTGGCGATTTGTGCAGCAAGGTGTCCCTCATCCATTTCTAGTTTCGGATTCCTGGCGGGATAGTCTTGAACTTATTCAGAATTGATCTCCCTAAAATTACATTGTATGTGGACGGAGTGTTCATCGCCAAGAAACGTATAGTGTGGGTGTGAGTCAAAGCCTCATTCCCAATTGGCACCTTGCCAATCGGCTCCTCCACCTCGCCTGAAAATTCGTAGACCGGGGTGCGTACCGGAGTAACCTTCTGTAACACCCCGCTTCTCCAATAATTTAATTTCCCCTTTACTAACATTTATTTAATTAACATGATTTTATCTCTTATGTGCTTTTATTAGTTTAAGATTTCTATTTATGTGATAATCGGTGAAATTTCTTATAGAATGCATTAGTCCGAAATAATTTTGGATCAATTTAAATTGATCATATTAGCTTATGTCTAGAGATTAATCATACTTGTTTATTTTACTGGAACTCATTTGTTAGGAAAATTTTAAATCACATATTTGCTAAAATAAAAATCGATAATTTGTCCTTAGTACTCCTTCAATTTTCGGCCACCATGGTACAACACAAGACCAAAATTTTCCTTGAGTACAACCCTTCTCTAGGTAAGCCCATGTGCATTAAGATTTTCCTTTTTGAATTTCTTTTTGGATAATTAAGTGAAATTGTAAAGAAGTCCTTCTAGATAATTCATAAGTTTTCCTAAATAATATTTTTCGAAATCATTCTATAAAAATAGTTGATTTCAAAAATTATGTACTTGATAAAAAAAATTAAAAAAATAATATTTTTTAATAAATAAACGAAAATTCGAATTAAGAAAAAAAAAAAAAAAAAGATTTCAAGTGGAGTAGTTGGTAATGGGAGTGAATAGTGGTCTAAATTTGGAATAAAAAATAACTGGATCTACTACTAATAAGGAAACTGTGGGTGGATCCACTCTCATTAAAAAATGCTAGAACAATTTTCTAACAATGTTTTAGAGCTGTAATTGTAATTACCAATACTAAACAGACTTTAAAGTTATTTTAACAATATTCATGGCTATAAGTGTAATTTATCCTAATAAAAAAGACAATGCCGAGACCGACCTCTTGAGTCGACATTTTAAAGCCTAGAAAAACAGAACTCATCATCGAACACGGACGGATTTAAAAAAAGAAAAAAAGAAAAAAAGAAAAAAATATATTACAAAAACGTTATTTGGCTGCCAACGTTAATTATTTTTTTTATTATTTTTTTGAAAACGTTATATACAAATTTTAGGGGTGAGAAGTCCAATTTAATTGGCTAACACACAGACTTATCATGTGCGCGACCGCAGCGGAATACTACTCCATCTAATCGAATTCCAAAAAGTAAAAAATATCTTCGCCCTTACATACGGTATAAGTGGCGTTTCTCTAAACCTAGTTGTGTTTTCTCCATGCCCTTTTTTATACTCTCTTTTGAGGAGTGAATTTTCAGTTCTTTTTTCTGTGTTGCCCTAGCACGATGTCTGGTATGTACGGTCAAGAAGGTGGAGGCGGTGGCGGAGGTTACGGCGGCGGTGGTGGATACGGCGGCGGTGGTGGTAGGGGCGGTTATGGCGGAAATAGTGGCGGCGGAGGATACGGCAACCAGGGAGGCGGTGGTGGAGGCTATGGTGGAAGAGGAGGGGGAGGCGGCGGCGGATACGCCGGTAGTAGAGGTACTTAGGGTTTAATATTTGTCTGTGCTGCGTTAGTTTTTTTCTACAAATCTTAATTTGAAGATGTTCGATGCTTTGTTTTTTTGGTTTCTCGAGAACTTTCTGATATGAGATCCTTTACTTTGTTTGTAGGAAGTGGTGGCGGTGGTGGTGGTGGATACCAAGGAGATCGCGGCGGCGGCGGCGGCGGCGGCAGGGGAGGTGGCCGAGGTGGTGGAAGTGGCAGGGAAGGCGATTGGCGCTGCCCTGATCCAAGGTAACTAGTTTGTTTGCAGATCTGAACTTCGTCCTGTTAATTATTATATAATATAATATTAGCTCCACATGATATTGGGGAATGGGGATAAAATTGGGTATGAATCTCATTTTGTTGCCAAAAGCTCACATACATTCTATTTTTTGGTAAAAGTATATTTATTGAAGCGAACTCCAGAACGTGTTTAATAGCAAGGTGAACAATGTTGTTACGTAGAAGACTGTATTAAATTTATTTCCACGCGTTAGAGTAGGAATAAAAATAATCCTTTTGATTTTGTTTGGTGGCGTGGCTTTTCAGGGAGCAACACTGTTTGTCGGATTTTGTTTTATACAACATAGTCGAGAAAGGATTTTTAACAATACAAATGGTCATATAATGCCAAATATTGAATATTTGAACCAAATAACCAAATATTTCCACAGGATATTAGTAGTATAACAATGTACATATTAAAGTGTTTGAATTTTGTTTCAAATGCAATTGATCTGGATCTAGGAACTATTTGGTTTTCCACAACGAATTAAAGCAAATTGCTTTCATGCTTGTGGTGGTAAGATTAAATTCTGCCTTATGTTATGTCTGCTTAGGATGACAAAAGGGTTTTATTGAGGTTTTTTGAAATTATTGGATTTACCATATTTTGAGTTCATTAACAATTTCAACTTATATACAAACACACTGATAATGTGATGCATTTATGTATACAACCTTTATATTTTATGACATTTATATTTATTTATGTGTATCTTGGAACCAAATATGTAGCTAATATGCGCCTAAACATGGATTTGTCTAAGAAGGTTAAAAGGTAGTTTAATATTTGAGTTCCTTTATCTGTTGGCTATACATTTCTGACTATGAAGATCAAAAAGTAGTTCAGTTATTTGAGTTCTTTTATCTATTGGCGGGAATTGATTATGGCATATTTTAATGTAGCTGTGGGAATGTGAACTTTGCGCGGCGATCCGAGTGCAACAAGTGTGGTACACCATCTCCAGCTGGCGGTGAAGACCGTGGCGGTAGAGGTGGTGAAGACCGTGGCGGTAGAGGCGGCGGTGGTGGTCATAGCAGAAGTTATGAAAGCAATCGAGGTGGCAGTGGCCGTAATGGCAATGGTTATGATGGTGGTAATGGTAGTGGTGGTTCTTATGGTGGTAGCCAAGGAAGGGATGATGGTGGTTATAGACAGGCTCCTCCAGTTGCTCCGTCTTATGGAGGTGGTGGTGGAAGCTATGCACCGCCTCCTAATGCATATGGTACAACTGATGCGGTTCCTCCCCCTACAAGCTATACTGGTGGGCCTGGTTCATATCCTCCATCGTATGGTGCCCCTGCTGGGTATGGAGGTGATAAGCTTGGTGATAGCCGTGGTGGTGGACGAGGTGGCCCACCTGGTGGTTATGGTGGAGGTCCTAGAAGCACAGGCGGTCATGGTGGTGGTTCTCCGGTGGAGTCTACTGAAAAGGTGAAGCAGTGTGACGAAAGCTGTGGAGATACATGTGATAACTCAAGGATTTATATATCGAATTTGCCGCCAGATGTCACTGTTGAGGAGCTTAGGGAACTTTTTGGGAGCATTGGCCAAGTAAATACAACTTCCTTCATTCTTTGAATTAGTTTTTCTTTAATAAATATATGCATATATGAGCCGAGTTTGTATAGTCGTTTGAATGTGCTTTTGTGTATGAGGCCATCTATATTTTATGAAGAGTTTAGTACCTTTTTTTGCACTAAAAATCATTATTATTTATACTTGGTTTCTAGGTTGCAAGAATCAAGCAGAAGCGAGGTTACAAGGATCAGTGGCCCTGGAGCATCAAAATATATACAGACGAACAAGGAAAAAACAAAGGAGATGCAGTTTTATCTTATGAAGATCCATCTGCTGCACATTCAGCTGGTGGTTTTTTCAATAGTATGTTCTTGATTCAGATAAGCTCTTGAAGTTGAGTATTTTGATGCTTTTTTTTTCAAGTAGTTAACTTGGTAATTTCTAAACAGTGCACGACATGAGAGGGCACAAAATAACTGTGTCGATGGCTGAGAAATCTGCTCCAAAAGCTGCCGCATACGGTTCTGGGTAAGCCAATCTTTCTCTCTCCCCCTTTTTTTTCCGTTTCTTTTTTAGGTAGTTTGTTCTGTAGGCACTGACATATTGGTTGATTCTATTTTGATGTGCGTTAATTTTACATCTAATATAATTGTATTATAACTGTTATTTACTGCCATGTACTATAAAAATAGTTTGATATACGTGTGCTTTTAAATTAGGAATTTGGAGATCTTAGAACGACATGGTAGTGAATTTTTTAGAGATATGCATAGGAAGTATGTGTATGATATCGTTACAAGAAGAATAAGGATATGGTTACTTATTTTTTGTTTATGTTCGTCTGTTGTCTTTTTTTGGGTTGGAAAAAAAAAAGCCTCAAGTCAGGTGTTTAAAATTTGTTACATTGTCGATAGTGCTGTACTGAGTTTTAGCAATTGGGATTCACCAGCTTCCATTATCACTCTTTGTTCTGACCAGCTTATAGATCCACTGTTGCTTCTCTAAGTGGGTGGATTTAATTATCCTTTTTCTTTAGCTTATGAAGAGCTTTTGCTTTTCTATGTGTTATAATCATTTGATTCTTACTTGCATGTATCTATCCTCGGTATTTTGAAGCAATCTCATCATGGTTTTTATGTGTTAGTTGGTTGATGAGCTTATTCTTTTACAGATGGTACTTTTAAATCAGCTCATATGAATTTGTTCAAGCAATTTGAATTGCATTTTCGGCATTCAAGCTTATATTAATCTTGAAATAATCTGTAATTGTTTTCGTTGTATTTTTGGAATTTGAAATATCCAAGTAAATGTGTATATTGATTAAATGCTTATTTACAGCGGCGGTGGTGGTAGAGGCAACTATGGGGGACGAAGAGACAACAATAGAGACGGTGGTTCTTCAGGTCCAGATAGACATTATAATAGCGGAAACCGTTCGCGTCCATACTAAACTCTTCGAGAAGGGCTAAATATATGTACTATTGTTTGTGGTGGGAGAGTTTCTTTTTTAGTTTTATTCCATTAGCGGATTTGTTCTCTAACAGGAGACGAGAGGTAGGTTGTTCATTACACCGAGCAATATTCCCCTTTTTCTCTGTTTTATACCTTTTTCGTTAGCACTTGGTGGGGACTTTGGGGTGTTACTCACATGGCTTGGGATTGATTGATTCGAGCTGTGTGAATGTTTTTATAGAGGGAAGTGGATAATCCGAATTGCTGCTAAAGGTAGGTTGAAATTGTCAGGTGAGTGTTGCTTTCTTTCTAAATTTTCGTTGATTACTTTTTTTCTATAACAGAGTTGCATCTTTGTGAATTTGTTTTTCATGATTACTTCTCATGCCCACTTTTTTGCTTGATAGAAACATGTTGTCGTAAAGTTTCGGTACACATGATTCGTTTTAATCCTCTGATTTTATTATTCGTCTATGTGTAGGTAGGTTTTTCTTGCTTTGAGTAGTATTTTATTATTTCCCGTTTCGGCTTAGTTTCTGCAGGATTCGGTAAGCTTCCTTTGGTACAATTAGCTTTTCTTATATTGACGTGTAAAGGTTTTTAAATGGTATTTATTTGGGTTAAAATGATGTGCATTTCTCTAATTCGGTAGATTTTAGGATCCATAATTTCTTCATATAAGTATATTGGTTGTAGAGTTATTGGGTAGCTCAATTGGAAGGGTTTATCTTGTGATGAAAGTAAAACATACTGCTAGTTGTCTTAGCATGAAAAATACGGGTTTCCTCTGGAGCTTTATTGAATGGACTAGTTTGACCTTGTTTCGTCTAGTGAGATGGAGATTCTGCCCAGTTACCTAAAACTATAAACTCTTTCCTCATGAAGAAAAACCTATTGCAGCTTCTGGTAGTCGATCCATCGTGCACTGCTGGAGTTTTTCTTTGTCCAAGTAATGTGTTCCAACTCAAATAAAGTTATGATGCTTTAGCTTGTCTTTTTTTTTTCTTTTTCTTTTCTAACAATTTCTTGTACTGTTGGTCTTGATATTTGTTGGACTTTAAAACTAATTTTGCAACTTGCTATAAATGTTTGCGAACTACTTTCCCCGGATGACATACTGATTTTCCCTGTGAGCCTACCAAAATGTCGGTTTCGGGTATCTAAATCTATATAATGAATCTGATAAAAACTACTTACGACCTCTCGAATGAATCTTGAAGATTGAGAGGAACTGCTCCCTGCTTTGTGATTGTTTAAAAGTAATGGATCTTTCTTTATTCCGTTCCACATGATAAAGGGGAGTGAATGTCTTCTGATGGCAATTAGACGCACGTATGGACTAAATATTAAGGAAATAAAAAATGCATAAATTTGAAACTACAAAAACTACATTTTGCAAAATCATTTGAAGTTAAAGAGAAGGGTAATACTATTTTTAAAAAATGAGACAAGAAGTTTAACTATATTCTTGAAATTTCTTGATCAAATGGGTTATTAAATACGGGGTTGACAATCACATGGGGTTGGCAATGACGCATATTTATTATACGGCAATTTAACTCGACTTGTGCCAACACTCATTAGGAGAAGTGATATCTACCATGCATCTACTATTAGAGTAGAGACGTCGCCTGTCTTGACGTTCCATTCTTAAAGAGAAGCTTCTTAAGAGTTATTAAGAATTATTGCAAATTTGAAGAAAAAGGTATTTTAATACTAATTTTTAGTGATATACACAGTCTATTTGATTTTAAACTATACAAGTTTTCAATATTTTATAAGTTGTTATAAGATGCTTAAGAGCTTATAAGTTCTTTTAAATTGAATTTCTTTCCGAAAAAATCTTAATAAATAAAAACATAAGATGATGAAGAGCTTATAAGATTTTCGTTTCAAAAAATACATATAAACCACAATACTAACATAATTTTGCTCTAGAATTATTGAGTTTTCCTGCAGTCGTAGCACTAGAAAATGGTTTACATTGCAAGTACGCTAACTATTTTCTTTCATTGGCATTTTTGTTTCACACGATACTATATATATCATCAAGGTTTTACGTAAGTAGTATAGGACTCGAGTTTGTCTATGTGCGTCTATTGAAATGGCTGCTCGGCGGCATTCAAAATGGATACTTAAAATTCTTTGAAGTACCACAAGTGTAAGTTTTGGTGTGCTTACAATAAGTATATCCGAGAGGCAAGAAGCCTGAAACGTATTTGGACATAGCTCCTCTGTCGATAAAAAAACCTATCATACACGTGGATTATATACCTACATCAAGTTCTTCACATTTGACTTAAAACTACCCCTGGCCAGCTTGTAATGAGGACAAAATTGCGAATTTGACCACATTCGTCCTTAAAATTACTACATTGGAAGCGAAGAATAGCTACTCGCGGTACAAAAGCAAAAACTATTAACCATTGAACATCAAAGAAAGAAACATCATACGAATTTCTAATGTACCTCACAGAAGCATCTCTTACAATCTTTCTGTAAGTAACCACAATACCATGGTTATTGCTGGCGATATTATCCAACAGAAAACCGAAGATCTACGCAAAGCCGAAAGTGCAGAAGAAGTCCTAAGTCCAATAGAAAACCTGCAAGCATCATCCGATGGATCAACACTAGTAATCAATCCCAACCCTCCAAAATCACAGCTCTCGGAATTCTGATCTCGCTGCTGATAGTAACTATTGAACGCGTACGAAATATTCCCCGGCCAACTCAGGTTAAAGCACGAACCGCCCAACGACAGCGCAGTACAGTCAGCAGCACCGCACGCCTCCAAAGCAAGCGCACTCGCATTCGACAAGTCTTTATTGTTGTTCACCACACACCACTTCGAAGATAGGTACTGAACATCTCTCGCATTCGCCAAATTCTTCGAACCCTGCCCTAAATCGACTTGGTACTTTGCTTGTCCGTCGAATGTGAACACGCCCCAGTGCCTCTCGAAATTTCCAGTTGATATGTTTCTCTGATCTTCGTCTAATAAGCTCAAAATGTAGATTTCTGTAGGCAAATCTTGATTGTTCGAGGGTTTGGCTGATTTGCTGTGGAGGTGGTTGATTAAGCCTTTTGTGAATTCTTCAGCGAGTGACGAGGTGGCGTTTGGAGATCCGTCTGTGGGCCAGCCGATTTGACCGATGACTATTTCCATTTGGGGGAATCCGGAATTAGACAGTGAAGAAACGACTGTGTTGTAGCTCAAGTCGAAGAGGTTTTTGTAGGTTTTACGAGTGCTGTTTTTGGCGTGTGGGGTTGGTCTAAAAAGGGCAAAGTCGAGAGAGAGGTTCTTGTTTTTTATGTAGCTTTGGAAAGGGGAAACGGTTACGAAGAAGGGGGATTGGTGTTTGTTGAGGAACGTGACGAGTTCGAGCATGGTTTTGTTGACATCGGGCCTGAAACGGGATTTTGATAGCGGATTGGAATCTGATGTGAAAGCGTCGAAACTGCAGGGAGTTACGACTTTAACCCTTTCGGATAATTTAGCCTTGAATAGAGCTGCTTGAATGTTCGTAGCTGCTCCGACGAGAAAGGGGTGGAATTCGTCACCGTAAGTTTGGAGGAAAGGCTCTTCTCCCACAGCAACATAACTACGCCAATTGATAGACAGACAATCAGTCAAAAACCGATCCATTAAACTTAAGAAATAGTACTAAACCCAAAGAAAAGAGACTAAATACAGAGTGAAGAACTTGCATAACTAATACGTAACAAATACAGTTAAACCTCTATAAATTAATACAGTCGGAATTAGCAAAATTCTATTAATTTAGCAAAATATTAATTTATCGAACTAATAATTTAATACATCTTTATTGAGTCGGGTCATGGAGAAATTATAATTTAAGCGAGGTTATTAATTTATCGAGGTTCTACTGCATATACAAACTCCAACGACAAAAAATACGTGATTTCAACCAAATGAATGAACTGATGCATCTATACAGATACGAGAAACCGAAAAGCAAAGTAAGACATTAACAAAAATATCTTCATCAGCTCAAGAAATAAAAAGGGGGAAATGCCTAAATTCTTCATGAAAATCGAAATTCTTGAAGATTTTTTATTTTTTAATTTTTTTTCATTCTTAGTTTGTTTCTACGGTGAGAGAATCCTACAGTACTCTTAAAATTCTCAGTGATGCATATTTTTCGGCCTAATTATTTCATTTCAGTCACTAAGTTCACTGTAACAACACAGAAATCAAAATCGGAAATTGCACGAAAATGAAAGCACGAAAGGCGGAGATTAATCGAAAGACGTACTCAACGAGAACCCTGGAGGCGCCGTCGGAGACAAAGCGGGTGAGATTATCGTGGACCCAGCTCTCGGCGGCCTTGAGGGAGGAGTTGAGGCCGCGGAGCATGGAATTGGGAATGCCGACGGTGACGCGGATGTTGGAGCCGGAGAGGGACTGGAGGATGAGCGGGTCGGCGTCGGAGAGCTTCACCTTGGCGATGCCGTTGGATTTCAGCAGCTCCACCACTTTGTGCGGCGGCAGAGGGTGCGACGCCGCCGTGCCCCAGTTGACGCCAATTCCTTCGGCATTTGGTAGAGAGAGAAGAGATGCGACCAATAATAGGGAGATGAACCGGGGAATGGGTGTGGATTTGAGGTATTGTGAAGGCATTTCCGGTGGTGGTGGACAGCGGAGCTGCGCTGGAGTGGCGGTGGTGCTAGCTGGTTGGGCGCTACATGGTTTAATATGTGGGGTATCAAATAATGTTTTATTTTACCTTTCTCGCGACAAAGATTATGTTCCCAATTAAATTTATATTGTTTAGTGCTCATTATTCAAAAGAAAAATATTAAATAATCTAATAAAACCTCGTTTGGTCGAAGAGATTAGTATAATTAACTACATAACGAGATTTTATTTGATGTTTCTATTCCAATAATTTGCCAGGTCGATCCGCAAATATTATGTTATCATGTCTTTTAGGCATAATTTTTTATCATGTCCACAGCGGGGTAATCATGTATCCTTATTTTGCACTGATTTATTGGTAATATATGCTCCCTTGCGTTTGGATATATAACAATACTGTTTTTGTTTAAATCATATGATAATTGTGTGCCTGTGAATTGGATAGTTATATTGTTATAACAATCATTACATAAAAAAGAATGAGAATTTTTATTAGACGTTCGACTAATTTGTAAAGCAACTCATTAAGCAGTAATGGTTCATTAATTCTAACCAACAATATCAAGCAAGCTGTTGAAATTGTATATTAATTCAGCTAATAATGTGTGCATCCTTTGGTAAAATGACATTATATTAAAATGATTATCAGGGTACTGCTTGTTCGAGCTTCTATTGGTATGATCATGAGATGTGTCAAAGATCGAAAGCGATAATCTCTGGTTTGATCAAGAGAATAAATACATTGGAACCACAAATTCCATTGCAGATTCAAGTTTTCTTAAACAAAATAACAGATTTGGAAGCCCAACTGAAGTTGAAGAGTGAGAATAAGGAGATGAGTAAGTCATACCATCTGTCAACTAGTTGGGCGCTTGCAATGGTTGTTAGTGTCTTAGTTTTGTATTCATTGTTTTCGTAGTAAGTTTTATTTAACTGTATTTTGCAAATAAATGGTGAACCAGCGGTTCTTATATTGACCATAAGTGTTTTTTTTCCATTTCGTTATTCAGCTATGAGGTTCGTTCGATTAACTATTACCCAGTGTTGTAACTGTTATCGGTATGATGTAGTTATGAATTGTAAACCGACCTAACAATGGTTTTGCTTTTCCATTTCCATTGAGAGCTGCAAGTGTTTAGTAAACATTGTTTCCATTAACTATGGTTTCGCTTTTCCATTTTCATGAATTGGTACAACTGTTTACCAAAAGTAAAATTTGAGTGTTTTCTACTCTTGCACCAACTTACCACCTCCGGAACCAGTTGAGCTACACCCATGCGGGCAGTGTGTTTTCTACTCTGTATGAATAATAAGTTAGTACATTTTGAATGCAATAAATTATATGCAATTTATCTTACTTTGGGTACATATATTTTATTAAAACAGTTAAATAGTTACCGAAAATATATTTTCAAAAACTAAGACATAATCAATTGGAGATACAAGAAATACATAAAAGTGGTTAATCATTAATATCCGATTGAAAATCGGGAATCGTAGTCCCATGCAACAACTTACCCTACGAAATACCGTGCGTACATATGTGAAGATTTGGGAACTTAGTCCCGAACAAAAGACACAAACTTACTAATAACTTAGGTAAATATCAACCCACTGCAGTTACAAAATAAGATTAACCAATGTACACAAAACGTGGGATTAATCAGGGACAACCGATCCATCGACATCAGAATTACCAGCATTATCATGATGATCGCTGATACTCACAGCTGGTTCATCGTCTTCATTTGGCTCTCCAACGTTTCCAATGTTCGGAACTTCGTGATCCGGGAATACAACTGGTTCGGCTTCTACTGGACCGTCACTTCCATCATCTTCGTCATCTTCATCAAGCACCAGTGGGTTAGTCGGGCTGAATCCCATTATCCCATCAAAGTTGCATGCCGGTGCTTGTTTGCATTCAAACCAAACTTGCACTCTTCGAACAACGGAAACCCGTTAATCCTAAACATCATCTCTTCCCCCGTCTCCTATATATTATATGGAAGACAAATTAAATTATATTGTAACTAACAAACGAGTACACTACATTTAAGCACATATATTAAAGACTTACTCGCCGATTCCATGGCTAAAAACTCCTATCCAAAGTGATATTTTTTGTACGATGGTGGAACATCACACCATCCGTCGCAATATAACTCTTAACGACAAAAACCGGTTTCGAAACCAATCCATTATGCACTTTATGGCAATTTCATCGAAGTTTTTTCCGAAATGGAAGTTCATTAGCAGATACACTTCCAAGAGGAGATCTTCATACGCCTCGTTGTTACGCAGAGTTTCCATGGACCGAGAAACTTCGGCAAATGATTCCATTAAAAAATCATTGTATTCGAAGGGCCAGCTGAGAGTGTTAAGCCTAGCCAACATCCTCTGATTACGGATTTTTGGCCAGGACATGATCCTACAAACATTGAACAAGAATGACATTACAAAACTTTAGAATTTACATCTACAAATATGCACCATAAAATCGATATTGCAAACCTTGGTACAACCTAACCTTAGTTGGTCAGACGAAGAGTTTTTAGGGTTAGAAAAATGAATAATTGAGATTTAAAATAAATTATCTTAACCACCTCACTATCTTGCATTTATAATCAAATTTATAATGTTATGATTTGTGCTGTCCAATAGCCGCTCATGCCAACCAATCGACGGCTGAGATGCTACAAATGCACTCAGCATTCTTTTACACGTGATGTTGCATATAATAATGCTTCCCAACTTCGAAAACTTAACCAACCAATTCGTATTTAATGTTTATACCTATTACACTACATGCCCTCCCACTTGTATATTCCTTTTTTTCTGCACATTTCAAATTGTACCAGTGTCATTCAATTTCAACTTTTCCATTGCACAATCTAATTATGAAGAAAATTGCACCGAACAGATAATTAATTTTTCTTACGCTTACCGCCCTTATGGAGAACCAAAATACGTGGCTCTAAAGTGTATCTTTGGCTCCGAACCCGTCCACAATCCTAACGGTGACGACCATATCATTGTGGTATTGTCTGATGGCGAACGATCTAATGGCATATTAAATGAAGTGGATGCAACTCACGTAGCAGAGGAAAATCGAGTCGGAATTAATGCTCAAGCATTTGAAAATGTGGCTGAACAAGAATTTGCAAATGTCTCCCATAACCCCCCTATTTCGGTAATTAACATTTCTTCGGGTACGTCGGATAATGTCGATTTTGACACGATGAACTACCTTAACTATGTGTCCAATTCTGAGGGTTCAAGAGACACGGAACTAAGCACGGCTAACTCACACTTCGTGGACGAACCATCGATAGTAGGGAACTCTATTTTGCGTTCAAGGGCGGAAAACATAAAAAATTTCAACCCATTGGGTACTCCAAAAAGCTCAACGGCTTCTAACATGCTACAATTCGCTGGGTTTTATACCCCCGAATGAATTAAAATTGCTTGGTTTCGGTTGTATACGTTTTGTATGCAAGGTTGTGTTTCTGTCGTTCAAGAAAATACTTTCTTTTGTGCACGTACGTTCTTGTGCATATAAGATAATTCGAGTGGTTAAGGTTTGTTTGAAATATGGTTACATCCCATTAGGTATGAATGCAGTGTTGTGCATTTGTAGTTTTTGTTTATTCACGGTGGTGATAGTAATGTTGTCACTTGGTAGGTATTCCTTTGTTCTGCTTATGTTTTGCTAGTTATTGTTCCCTATTGTAAAATACGCGGATCCATTTACTAAACCAATTAACATTTTTTTTGCTTTCATAGAAGTAAAAAAAATTAACATATGAAACTAGGGGATACAATTGCTAGCAACTGAGAATCTAATACATGGAAAAATAAATGTTTATAAATTAAAATAATTGGTCATCGAGGTTCGTCAAAAACAGTAGCACCAAATGGTGTTACTGAACCTTTATAACATAGTACACAAACTATTTATAATCGTACAGAACGAAATTAAATAACTTATAAAACATCAGTCATTAATCAACCAAAAAACAAACATATAGAACAAGGTTTGCAATATGTCAACTGTGTAGTACCTAATAATGACCCTCTATGATTAGATGCACCATATTTGCCTTCTGCTCATCAGTCAAACAAAAGAAAATATCCAGGTCCTTGCTATTATCGCAGATTATGGAAGTTACTTTTAGTCTTTGCTCAAATGTAAAATACTCTATGTTTTGTAGGGCGTCAAAAACTTGTTTTCTAGCCGTCTAAACATTTTAATATGTTACTCTAGTATACATACATACCCGTAGGGACCCGTAACCCGTTTTTCCTAGTTACCACGTCATGAAGTATTCTACTATCTGCAGCCGAACCTTCCCACCCAGTAAGTAAGTAAATAAAGTTCATGTTATTATCGTAGACGACTAGGACATTCAATGATACTTTGCCTTTGCGATTTCTATATCTTGGTTTATCAAGGTAAGGGACGCGACATTCTATGTACGTCCCATGAAGTGCCCCATGACAACCCTAACAGTTGTAATAAAAGAATTACATGCATTGGTAATAATTTAATCTTACTTGTAATTTAACTACAATTATAAGGTATGGTCATGCACATAGGGCCGTTTCACCTGGAAGTATGAATAACGCTCGTTATCCAAGTTTTCGTCGACGGGTTTCGGTGAAATCAAAAGCATCTCATGTAGTTTTAACAAAGGCAAAAAGGACCCGATTAAAATGCTTGCTAACTGTATAACCCGATCTTTTGAAATGACTACGCATGGCAACATTCTTTGTGTGGTGTGCCAAAATCTGAAGAAACATCGCAACTTGCTCGGGATGCTAACATTTCTATTCAGTCTAAGACCACCAACATTTTCTAAAACATAACACAAGCGATAAAATATTTGAATGTTCATTCTCAGATTATCACGACACATAACATCATCAAATCCAACAATTGAACGCAAATAATCAAGTTTCGAAGGGGTTCTGCCTATCAAACTATAAGATCGATTGTTATTTGATTGCGAGTCACTCAAACGACGACGGTTAAACTGCCTAAATATGCGTATAGATATTTGTTGGGAATCGGACACGTGTACGCAGCGGAAAACAAAAATTTTATGCGCATTAAACAACTTTAAAACACATAAACACATGCCCGATAATTGAAAACAATTAATTGCGTACCTTTGCGCTTCCAGCGAAATTAAAAACAACATACATGCTTAATTATTCAACCGAATTTAAATCAATTAGCATGCTCGCGTTTAAATCAAATAATCATGCTCGCAATAAATAAACGATTTCATGTAGTAACATAAAATCATACAAGAACGAACATAAACATTCTATTTAAACGTAAACGAATCAAAGAACAATGAATTCGTGAGTTTACCTCTTGAAGCGTGAGGTAGGCGCACTAAGCAAAACGAGATTTCTACGGGAACCAATCCGTACAATCCGGGGCAGCAGCGGTGGAGCGGCAGCAGCGGCAAGACGAGCCACGGCGGCGCGTGTGACTCACGCGCGGTCTTCAGGCGGCGCGTGGGGATGCGTGCCGCTTCGGCTCGTGTGCTACGCATCGATTCTTCGATCTTCGATCTTCCTCCTCTCGTATTTCACCTCGTATACTTCGATCTACTAAACACGTGGCACTAGACACGTAATAGTTAGAAAAATGGAAGAAAAAAAAAGAAGGAAAGGAATACCGAAAGGGATCGGCCAATGGATGGCCGATTCCGGCAATGTTCCGGCGACGACGGCAGGGTGGCCGCAGGAGATGGCCGAGATAGAGAGAGAGGGAGCGGCTAGGGTTAGGGTTTTCTTGTGTTTTTTTTGTGCATGACCTATAAATCAAGTATTTATAGTGTCTTGCATAAAACCCTAACGGGCTTAAGTTGGACCGGGCCCAACAACTTAAGCTCGTTAGTTCTTTTACTTGCTCGTCTCTCTCAATTCAATGATCGAAAAATTGTAACGATTACATTTTCGGAATCATTATAATGTCCTCGTCATTACGAGTGCCAACTCTCGATTTCCAACTTTCCAAAAGTGGAAACCCTAATTCTGTGCAGTTTCTAAATTTGGAAACTTCCCGATTTAGAAACTCCACTAATACGTTTGCCTATTCTTTTCCTTTTCTTATTCTCATTCATAATTCCAAATTACAAATGTTGGACCCAATCATATTGACTTCCAATCATGCAAAGATAAACCATTTTATCTCTGACCGTTTATTCAGAGATCTCATGTGCACGAGCAGTGTGACCCTCGATGGTTCAGGTGTAAGCTAGCCGTGGGCCCACAACCCTTTGTGGTCAAAACTCGTCCCTTAGAGTTACGATTAAGATGAAGCTCGTTTCACCTTAATCACCCAATGAATCAAAATTGGCGTCTAGCAACTACGCGTCATGATTCCCTAGATACAAATGAAGTGCCTGCAAGAACCTTCAGATATAGTTAACGTACAGTACGGTCCCTTCGGTTCATATGTCCCGATTGAACTAGAGGCATTGGTTCGTCGAGACCTCTTTATTTGTTCAATGACGGTGCGATCGTTCTAAGTGTTGTAATTGTTACGTGCATGACTTAGAGAATCGAATTCTCTAATCATCACTTAGTCAGCTCTAGCCAGAGACTTAGAATGATTACAAACTTTCAGAACACAGAGGACATCCATGACTATTCTAGAGATCGAATCCCCGACTATAATGCACAGACCTCCCACTAGATTTTAGACTGCACGAACACTGGCCCTTGGGATGGTCCTCGGTGGAACTCAGGGAAAGGTCACGATACAGCTGGTCCTCTAGTGAAGTCACGGTGATGTCTAGGTCATAAGGACTAATGGTGTACAACTATACCATAGATATCTCTACTCGATTATTGAGAACCACTTAGATATTTCTAGGGTGAGGGAGTTCAGTGAACTCGTCAACTTATGAGCACCCACTTATGCATGCCGATATCACAATACCGTCTACTGATGAGATGCAGCACACATACACTAAGTGCTAGTCTCTTAACGGGAAATGCCGATATCCTCATTGGTGGCGTAACCCTTCGACTAGGAACAAGTTTAACAGTTATAATACTTAAGTAAATATCTCACGATCCTAATAATCAATTAATAGTACTTGTAATAACTGTAAGGACTATATCTATGCTTGTGACAAAGGGACAAAGATATAGAATGCCAAGTTGTTTTATCATTAATACGAATAAAGGTTCGTTTATTACCATAATAAATACGAAAGACCACAGCCACATGTTGGCTTGTTGATCACCTACTCTAACAATATTAAGAAAAATAGCCTCAAATTAAACATTAGCTGATGCAACACAACTACAACATATTGCTCTTGTTTCGACAAAGTCATCGCAAGGCGACAAGTTCCTACAATATGCTCACAAAAATCATTCAAAATATATAAGGAAAATGACATCGACAACAAATCTTATACGACAGAATACACAATATTAGGAAAAAAAAAAAATCACCCAAATTCGGTTTGGTATATTTACGCACAAATGTTACAAATTAGGCTAAATACATAATGTATTTTTAAAACTGTAATAAAATACAAACTACACACAATAATTAAATCAGAACTGAGTACATACCCGACGGATTGATTTAATTCGATGAACCCGGTGTTCTGCAAGAGGATATTTGTATACAATTTTACCAAATCAGCTGATGCAGAATATGAACAAACGACCACCTTAAATTGGTAATCATGTTAGACGGATTTATGAAGTAGTGTGACTAATTAAAACAGGAGACATGATGAACACGAAAATAAAATTTGTAACAAATTAAACCGATTAGCCGGAGCAGAAGAATAACGACATCACTAACGCAGGCGATCTTCAGTGACTGGGTAATGGTGCCATTTGCCTAACGAAAGTAAATAGTTCAGATGATATGGGTATTTGTAAGATTGAGTTGTAAAAAATCGAACTTCAAAATGGTGCAGAAGATGCAAAATTTACCTTTAATTGAAATTAGGGTTTACTGATGTCAGGAGAGAGGGATTTTTTTATAAGGAAATTTGGTTTTTATATGAAAGAATTCAGTAATTAACTAAGTCATGTAAGGGCAAAAAAGACCTTGCACAACCCATTACATGATGGGATTAAATGATGACGAATTGTCAAGCGAATATTGACGTGACTGTGAATAATTCGATTGGGGGATAGAAATCATAGGCCCAGTTATCAAGCCTTCACCAAACCGCCGAAACAGCAAACACGAAGATATTAACACCAAGATATTAACAGTCCCGTCGAGCCTAATAATGCAAACCAAAGAGGCCCTAAAAGCACTATCTATCATTACACTCTAAATTTCAAAACAAAATAGAAAGTGTCCAAAAGAAGGTTACAAAAAGCCCATCAGCCCAACACATTTTCCTTTGTCCGGCTTTGGAAGGAAGCCATTGATAAAGCTAAAAGCCCCCTCTTTTCTTCCTCCCCAGCATAGAATTTCTCGAGAAAAAGCCCACACACACACACACACAACACACACAATTTCTATATTCATTCTTTCTGCAGTCTCGAACATTCTGACTGGGTGTTCTCATTCCTTTCTCTCCGCACCTGTAATCGGTAAGATCATTCCTCACTCCACCTCTTTCTCTTAGGGATTCGATTCTACTGTTTTTTTTTATAAATATAATCTTCAATCGCTTTTCAAAATGGCTTCACTTTTCACCGCTCAATTCGTGGGCAAAGGGTTTTTATTCTTCGTAATCGTCGCCGCCGCAATTGCAGTTTTCCTACAGGCGCCGATCTATTCCAATTCGTTTTTGTATTTGAATAATAGCTTTCGTTTCGAAATTTTGATATATATTTCGCTGATTTTGTTGATTTTGATGGTAATTCGGCTTGTTTTTAGCAACTTGCTGCACTATATGCTTCCCAGAAAGAGACCAGGGGAAGGCGAGGCTGTAAACGAACCCGATTCCCAGAACTCTGTTAAGAAGCATCGGATTATTTCCTCCGCAGAGAGCGAGAATACCGGGGAGACCGCTACACTCGGCGTGGGAGATAGTTTCAGTAAGAGAAGCACAGACTGTGAGGAAGCCACGATTACCGAAATGGCCTTCGATAATGGAACTCCGTGCGATATCGATGAGGATTTGCACAGTCGGCAGCTTGCAGTTTATGGGAGGGAGACGATGAGGCGGCTTTTTGCGTCTAACGTTCTTGTGTCTGGAATGCAGGGCCTTGGGGTTGAGATTGGTATGTACAAATTTTCCCACTTTCGGATGCACTTAAATAATATTTTCTCTGATTGTTTTGGTGGTGTATATGTATGTAGACTTGCATTTCTTATCGGCTTTTCTGTAATTTGTGAGCTATGAATCAATTTGAGTTGTCAATCTGATTCAAGATGCAGTTAATGAAATAAGAAGTATAACATATGCAGTTGATGGTATTTATTTCCATTCCGTTTGGACCTTTTGCCTGTGGTTTCGTCATATTAGCAGTCATTTTTTAGTTTATATTGGTTTTGGAATATTAGTTTGCAAATTTTGAGGGTAATATTTAGATAGTGAAGCATTTATCTTCTTATCAACTGGTTTTGCTGATAATATGAATCTTATTTGCTTGAATAAGTACTCTTGAGGTGTGAGTTTAACATATCTGATTTTTGTAAACTCTTGCAGCGAAGAACCTTATTCTTGCTGGAGTAAAGTCTGTGACGTTGCATGATGAAGGGACGGTGGAGATGTGGGATATGTCTAGTAACTTTGTTTTCTCGGAAAAGGATTTGGGTAAGAACAGGGCACTCGCTTCAATTCAGAAGCTACAAGAACTCAATAATGCTGTAGCTATCTCGACTTTGACTACAAAGTTGACTAAAGAACAACTTTCTGACTTCCAGGTAATTTTATTCAAATTTTTTTCATTTAAAATTGCAGTACTGCACAGACTCATAACCATTCAAAGACGAAAAACATTCCCCGTGTTCTATATTTCCCTTGCATCAATAACACATCAGCCCGCAGATATTGTGCAATAATAGTATGAACAATTTATAAGATAATTGGTCCAATTGGCTGGTGCCTGCTTTATCATAAGGTCAAGTATCTTATCCGTGCATGTTCTGACAGCTAGCTTTCATGCATGCTTAGCATTTCCTCTATCCTAACCATTTGATTAACTCGATCAATCACTTGCTTGCGTACTTTGGCAACTATTCGGACTTTGCTAATATTTACGAAATTGCATGCATTTTGTAGATGTTGCATTATTACTAATAAGCATGAACGCATCTGTTATGAATGCAGGCTGTGGTTTTTACTGACATCAATTTGGAGAGTGCCATTGAGTTCAATGACTACTGTCACAACCACAAGCCTCCTATTGCTTTCATTAAGGCAGAAGTGAGAGGCCTTTTTGGTAGTACTTTTTGTGATTTCGGACCTGAGTTCACAGTCTTTGATGTCGATGGCAATGAGCCTCATACGGGCATCATTGCATCTATTGGTAATGACAACCCTGCTCTTGTGTCATGTGTGGATGATGAAAGGCTGGAGTTTGAGGATGGGGATCTGGTTGTGTTCTCAGAAATTCGGGGAATGACAGAACTGAATGATGGAAAGCCAAGAAAGATTAAAAATGCACGGCCCTACTCTTTCACCCTTGAGGAAGATACAACTAACTTTGGTGCATATGAGAGAGGTGGAATCGTAACTCAGGTTAAGCAGCCGAAGGTTTTGAAGTTCAAGCCACTGAGGGAAGCCATCAAAGATCCCGGTGATTTCCTTCTTTCTGATTTTTCTAAGTTTGACAGACCGCCTCTCTTGCATTTGGCATTTCAATCGCTAGATAAGTTTGTGGCTGAGTTGGGGCGCTTCCCGGTTGCTGGTTCTGAAGAGGACGCTCAAAAGTTGATATCTATAACCACTGATCTTAATGAGAGCTTAGGTGAAGGAAAACTGGATGACATTAATCCAAAACTTCTGCGACACTTTGCTTTTGGGGCCCGAGCTGTACTCAATCCTATGGCTGCCATGTTTGGTGGCATTGTGGGGCAGGAGGTTATGAAAGCATGCTCTGGGAAGTTTCATCCTCTTTTTCAGGTGATTATTATTTCTCATTCTAATTTTCTTCACGCTATTTCTTTTTCCACCTTCGTGTTCGCCCTTTCTCTTATTGCATTTCGTCCCTCTTCCCTTTGGGTGGGTTAGACTTTGAATTATAACTTATAAGACCGAGAAAAGCATAAGAATACCGAAATGGCTCAGAAATATGACCTGCATGCATAAATAAATGCCCTAATGGGCTGTAAGATTTAATTGCTCTCTCTTATAATTGAGTCACAATGATCACACATAGATTAATTACAATGAGAAGAATAATGATATATTAGCATTTATTTCTATAAATTTTTGCAATCTTACAAATACTTGAAAGTATCAACTTTGATTTTTAACAGTTTCCCTCAAGTTTAACATGTAAATTGGTACATATGTTCATTGGTCAACTAATTTGAACAAATTATGAATTCATGGTAGTTTTGTGGTTGAAGATCCGTTATTAGATAAAATACGCAAGTATGACATATCATGTAATAAACAAGCAAAATGTTTAATCAAGAATGATACGAATGAATGTAAGAAAAATTATAAAGAGTGCACCCTCAGTGAGTGGGGAGGGCTGGTGGAATTATAGGTAGCTATTTGAGGTGTTTGGAGCGGTCATTCAAGGTGCATGAAAACATTAAAGTGTGTAGATTTTGGTGATTTTGAACACTATTTTGTTTTGGTCATCTTTCTGAGCTACAGCAGTGGCATGTTGAACGGTTCACGTACCATCACATTTGCAGTGTGGCTGGAGATTTTTTTTCTGTCTTGGTCTTTCTTCTGTATGTTGTGCAATTTAGGACTCTTTGTCGCCTTATTATGTGAATTTTTCTCCTTGGTATACTATTTATAAAGTTCATATGATTTTTTATGTTTGTACAATTGCTCAACCTCTTTTTCTTGAATTCTATTTTTCGGAGCAGCAAGTTATGTAATATAGCTAGCTAACCATTTCTATTATCATGTTTGTGCAGTTCTTCTACTTTGACTCAGTAGAGTCACTTCCTACCGAGCCGTTAGATCCCAGTGATTTCAAACCATTGAATAGCCGTTATGATGCCCAGATTTCTGTGTTTGGGTCTAAGCTTCAAAAGAAGCTAGAAGATGCAATAGTGTTTGTCGTTGGATCTGGTGCTCTCGGCTGCGAGTTTCTGAAGAATTTGGCTCTAATGGGAGTTTCATGTGGAAAACACGGGAAGTTGACTATTACCGATGATGACGTAATAGAGAAGAGTAACCTAAGCAGGCAATTCCTATTCCGAGATTGGAACATAGGACAACCAAAATCCACTGTAGCTGCTTCTGCTGCTTCGTCAATAAATCCTCTTATGCACATCGAAGCTTTGCAGAATCGAGTGGGCACCGAGACAGAGAGCGTTTTTCATGATGCCTTTTGGGAGAATCTCAATGTTGTCATTAACGCACTCGACAATGTAAATGCCAGGCTTTATGTCGACCAGAGATGTTTGTATTTCCAAAAACCACTTCTCGAGTCTGGAACATTAGGTGCCAAATGCAACACTCAAATGGTTATTCCTCATCTCACAGAAAATTACGGTGCTTCGCGCGATCCGCCAGAGAAACAAGCGCCCATGTGTACTGTGCACTCTTTCCCACACAATATTGACCACTGCTTGACTTGGGCCAGATCGGAATTCGAAGGCTTGCTCGAAAAAACACCCGCTGAAGCAAATGCTTATCTCTCTAACCCTAGTGAGTACACATCTGCAATGAGAAGTGCCGGCGATGCTCAAGCCAGAGACAATTTGGAACGTGTAATCGAGTGCCTTGATAGTGAGCGATGTGAATCGTTCCAAGATTGTATTACATGGGCTCGTCTAAAGTAAATTCCCAATATTATATTGTTTGTAATCTCGTTTGTATGTTTAGCTACAACTTCTCTCGTTTGGATTTCTAATTTATTAAGTCTTTACTAATTGGCAGGTTTGAAGATTACTTCTCAAACAGGGTGAAGCAGTTGACTTATACCTTTCCTGAAGATGCTGCAACGAGTACCGGTGCACCTTTCTGGTCAGCCCCAAAGCGGTTCCCTCGTGCCGTGCAGTTCGAGACCAGTGATAGCAGCCATCTTCATTTTATAATGGCTGCATCCATACTGAGAGCAGAGACATTTGGCATCCCTATACCTGACTGGGTAAAGAACCCTAAGAAATTGGCCGAGGCCATTGATAAAATCATTGTCCCTGATTTTAAACCTAAAGCAGACGTGAAAATTGTTACGGATGAGAGAGCTACTACTCTCGCTACCGCTTCCGTGGATGATGCTGATGTTATTAATCAATTAATTTCGAAGCTGGAGCAGTATCGGAAGAATATACCATCAGACTTCAGGATGAAACCAATTCAGTTTGAAAAGGTTCGTCGTCTCCTTTCTCTTTAAAACTAAGATGTTGTGATGAATTGCCTAAGCAAAATTTATGGTTAATGAGCTTTCTTAATTTTAAAATCTATTATTGTCAGTATGTGTAGCTTTATGAACACGTTACGCCGGAGGATTCGTTTCGATCTTGACATTACGTGTAAAAAAAAAATTTGCAGGACGACGACACAAACTACCACATGGACATGATAGCGGCACTGGCAAACATGAGGGCAAGAAACTACAGCATCCCCGAAGTTGACAAGCTTCAGGCCAAACTCATCGCAGGTAGAATCATTCCAGCCATCGCAACCGCCACTGCAATGGCGACCGGTCTGGTCTGCCTCGATCTCTACAAAGTAATCGACGGGTCCCACAAATTAGAAGACTATCGCAACACGTTCGCCAACCTGGCCCTTCCCTTATTCTCCATCGCCGAACCGGTGGGCCCCAAAGTCATCAAGCACCAGAATCTGAGCTGGACTGTGTGGGACCGCTGGATCATTAAAAACAATCCGACTTTAAGGGAGCTACTCCAATGGCTATCCGACAAGGGGCTCAATGCTTACAGCATTTCTTTCGGGAGCTGTTTGCTGTACAATAGCATGTTTCCTAGGCATAAGGAGAGAATGGACAAGACGATGGCTGACCTGGCGAGGGATGTGGCTAAGGTGGAGCTTCCACCGTACCGTAATCACTTGGATGTTGTGGTCGCGTGCGAGGATGACGATGATAATGATGTTGATATTCCTCAGGTGTCGGTTTATTTCCGTTGAAATGTTTTTCTTTAATGTTTGGATAAATTAATAGACGGGATTTTCTTATATTTTCCGTCCCCCCCTTTTTTCATTATTAGTGTTTCGGTAACTTTTCGAAAGATTGTTGTTTTGTAAGCACTTTGATATGTTTGTTGTTGTCTGTTATTGTTATACTTGTGATGGATTAACATATTTGGGGGCAGTGTTTGTTGTTTGTTCTTCTGTGTTCTTAGCCAATTGTGTAACTGGTTTACTTTGGTCTGTTTTGTTTTGGTGGATCTGCTAAATTTTCTTTCTATTGCCTTCCATTGTGGATTGTGTTGGAACCAATAATTTTATAAAGTTCCCTTTAGGATTACCTTTTTTTTTTTTTTTTTTTAAATAAAAAATTCAACTTAAACTCATTATTATATTATTTTTATTACTATCAAACAATTTTTTTTGAATTAAAAAAGTATAAAAATACAATAATTTTTACTTAATAATAAAAATTGAAATTTAAATGCCGTTTGAATTCTGCTAATACAATTTTGACTTAGAATCGGATTTTGACCATTTTCTAGTCCGATTTTGGCAAAATACAAAACACGGATATCGTAGCCCTTTGTATTAGCTTTGTAATTCAACACAAGTCAGCTAATTTTGATGTCGGATGACAAAGTTATGCATGAATGAGTTACGTTTTGAATTTTAGATAACTCAAATTATCAAATTTGTTGGAAGTGTGAGTTCATTGATTTATGATAAACTTTCTCATCCGATTTCAATCTTGGTGATTCAAGTTGGATTAGAAATTTACTTTGAAAAACTACAAATTTTGTGTTATGAGTTTTGCCTAATTCAGACTAAAAAATGGTAAAAATTATGTTCGAAGTTAAAATGGGTTGGATTTGTAATTTAAACAAATTTCAAGTGGGATTTGTGTAATTATTTTAAATGTTGAGGGGTTTAGTTATGATTGTAACAAGTGAGGAATGTTTGTCTCATTTACTCATTATTTTATTTAATTAATGAAATATTAACTTGTAAAATATATAATATTTGTTTATCTAGTATATTATGAAATGTAATAGTTCAGAATATGCTTAGCCAAACACCAACTGAATATATGACCATTCCATGAAATCAAATTACGAATAAACGTTTGGAAAAAACACATAATTAATTATATGATTAACACAAAAACCACAATTATGAAAGAAATATTAATTTCTTAATACGAACTGTGCAAATGAATCTTCATTCTACTAATATGTTTCTTTTTTGAGAGAATTCATTTTATTAATATATTATTTTTTTTATTATTAATATTCATTTTACTCATTTCACAAATGATCTTAACAAATGTAGTTATTAGTCAATATGGTACGATAGAGGTGTTTAGACATGGCCACGGGCCGGTTCGGGCCGGTTCCGGGCCGGTTCATACCGGTTCACGGTTCACATTTTCCGGAACCGGAACTGGTCCGTAATATGCACGGTTCGGCGGGCCGGTTCCGGGTCGGCCCAGAAATTTTGATTTTTTTTTTTTTTTTTGAAATATTTGATGAATAAGTAAATTAAAAGAAATAAGTTTAAATAGAAAAAAGAAAAGGAAATAAATGAAAAGACTTGAACTTAATTTTAAATTCAAAATTTTAAAAATTTCGAATTTAAAATGAAGTTGCCTACGTAACCATTACGGAATCAAAGTCCACGTAGTTCTCTTACCTTCACTTACCTCCCTAGTCGTCGCTAGACAGAGTGTGTAGAGTAAAAGTACGACTTGCTGAAGCTGAAGTCCCACTTTCGACGTAAGCTTCATCGCGATCGTCATCATCATCAACAACGAGGTGGTCGTCTTTGTGTCGGAAATTGCTTTTTCCCCAATTATCCAAACAAAGTTGTGCTTTTAAATTTTCGGGGGGAGATTGCTTCTTCTTTGATCCAATATATGGCCCGCGATACTAAATGCAGCTTCGACTGCAACTGTGGATACGGGGCAAGCGAGAACATCTTTTGCAATCATCGACATAATTGGGAACGCTGAACTCTTTGACTTCCACCAATCTAATATATCAAACTTGGAAAAGGCACTTGGATCTTCATCATGAAGAAAATCAAAATGAATGGTTAGATATTGGTCAAGTTCCAATCGTTGAACCCATGGACCTCGGGCGCTTTAAGCGCTCAAACACCAATCGTTGACCCGTCTTCATATTGGAAGTATCCGTAGACTCTCGATTAACTTGTAAATTTTGAGATCCACTCATTTCACTAACATATTCATCAAACATTGCATGCAAAGTACTAGTAGCTTGAAGTATAATAAGATCCACATTAGGTTTAACAGAAGGAGGAGGAGCGTTAGGATCAATACTAACGATAACATCATTTTCCGGAAACAAATGATTGTAATACACCTTTAACAACTCAGTTAACAATTCAATCCTAAATCTAGGATCCAAAATGCAACCAACCAAATATATCTCATCAATTTTATCATAATATTTCAACCATTTCTTTTTCATTTCAACCACACAATTTTTTAAAATATCTTTTTTTTCAGCGGTCGCAAAACCCTCGGCAATATTGCACAAATAATAAATAACCAAATGACATGTTGGATATGAGGAACCAGATAAGACATTAGTAGCTTCTGAGAAAATTTCCAAAACACTACATATTTCAATGCATGCATCCCATTGATTGTTTAAAACAAATAATCCAGTAGCAGGCAATTGTGTGCTAAAAAAGTTGCATAACAAATTTCGATATTCATAAGTTTGGCTTAACAATTTATAGGTTGAATTCCAACGGGTACTAACATCTCGTGAAAACGCAATAGGATGTTTGTCATTTTCCCTACAAAATCTATTCCATCGTTTCACAATAGATGCGTGTTGCCATATATAAGAAACTAGAGCTCTAATAGGAGAAATATGATTTTGTAACATTGTTAAACCATCTTGCACACATAGATTCAAAACATGACAAATGCATCTAACATGGAAAAACCTTCCCCTAAAATTGGCATGCATTTCTCTCGGAGTGCGGGGATACTAGCCGTATTGGCACTTGCATTATCAAATGAAACCGAAAAAACTCTTTAAGTAAGCAAATAATCATCTAAAATTTGTGAAAGCGTCATTGCCATTTGTGCAGCAGTATGACCAGTATTCATAACCGAAAAAGCAATAATTTTGTTCTCAAGTTTCCATGCACTATTAACCCAATGACAAATAACACCCATGAAATCATTACGACGCCAATGATCACTCCAAATATCAGAACAAATAGACACTTTATTATTCATGGACAACAATTGTTCCCTTAAAATATTTTTTTCTCTTTCAAAAATACTTCTAGTGGTGCGTGTAGTGGTTGATCTAGGTTGACGAGTGCAATTAGGACCATACATCCCTTTAAATTCATTCATTATGCAATCATTATCGGCAAAACCAAATGAAAGGTGACCATAGCAATAACCATAGCCCACCCTTCTTTTTCTTTTTGTTTCGAATATTTAAATAAAGAAGAATCGTTACCTCTCTGTGAAGATCCGGTTTGCAATTGAGTTTGACTTTTGTTGATGCCTAGAGCTTGGGGATGATTATTCCTCAAGTGCCGCCAATAAGATCCATATCCATCTCCTTTTTTGAAGGCGTAGTTTGCCTACACAAATTAAAAAAGAAATATAAAATTAGCTTACGAATATTAAAACTAGAATTTTTTTTTTTTTTTTTATACTAATGGACTTACCTTGCAATAATTGCATTGAGCTCGACAAGTTCCGTCCGCCTTCTCAATTTTTTTATAATGCAACCTCCAAATGTCGGATTTAGAAACATCATAACCGGTCCCTTCGATGGTTGATGATTGAGATGGCCGCTTAGTACTAGCCCTAGGAACCGAACCCCCGGATGGTTGTGGCGATGGCATTTCCTCCGGCTCATCATCGTCGAGTATGTTGGTGTAGTCGCCCAACTGGGGAATTGTCGGTATGTGGTCGGTGTAGGTATTGGGAATTATTGATGGAATATCATGTTCCCAAGAACCATCATAACCGTAGTCCATTTCGGGAGGAACTACGGATTTTCCCTTTCCTTTTCCGCTACGACGTGAACTTGAAGACATTTTTTCACTAAAAATAAAAACAATTTTTTGTTTTTTTTTTCCAACAATTGAAGAGAAATTCGGAAATGCAATACAATTTTTTTTGATTTTTTTTTTACTAACAATTGATGAGAAATTCGAAAATGCAAAAGAACCTTTTTTTTTTGACTAAGAACCGAAGAGAAATTCGAGAATGCAAAAACTAAAGAGAGAATTGAACTTTACTAAACTTTGATATTGAACAAGTAGAGAGAATTGTGAGTGAATTGGTGAGAAATTGGGTTGGGGTGTGAGGGTATTTATAGGAAAAATTGGGGGGAAAAAAATTCAAAAAAAAATAAATAACGGCCGGTTCACCCGGGCCGGTTCACTAGCCGTTATTTGCTTTTTTTTTTTTAATTTTTTTGAATTTTTTTTTAAAAAAAAAAATCCGGGTGAACCGTCGGGCCGGCCCGGCGGTTCACGGTTCACCATTTCTTAGAACCGGGCCCGTCCCAGGTAGGACGGCCCGGTTCACGCGGTCAACGGGCCGGTTTGGGCCGTCAACGGGCCGGTTCCGGGCCCAAAACCGGCCCATGGCCATGTCTAGAGGTGTTCACTCGATCGGGAAACCGACCAAACAGAAAATCCGGTTTGGTATTTGATTTTTTTTTTTTTGAATTTTAGTATTCTGTACAGTACACAGTATTGATGCCCGGTATACCATACCATACCGAAGACCGAAATATATATATATATATATATTCTTTTTATTTTAAATCCTGTACGGTTATAGAACAAATTATCAAATACTTGTAGATTGATATTTTTTTCATTATTTACAATGAGCCTCTATTGATAATTATTTTTATTTTTTTATTTTTGGGTCGATTATTGAAATCTTAATGTCAAATTGAAGAATTAATTAGTTTTAAAAAAATATTTTACCTTTCTTTTTAAATTATGAAAATATATTTTCGGTTTCACAGGTACCGAATCGAAAAAACCGAATTAATTCGGTAAAAAACCGTATTTCTGGTATGATTCGTTACGGTTTTACGAATGAACACGTACGAAAGAGGGGCTCATCAATTTTGAACGTACAAACTCCACAAAGTCAAGGAAAAATACAAAAAGCCATGATTTAATGCATTGATTATATCGAAATTTAATGTCAAAAAAAGGAAAAAAGAAGAAGAAGAAAAAAAAAAATTCTAGATTCATGCACCCATTATATTAAATGCAATGCTTGGTGTGCTTCAAACAATAATCAATTTTCTTATTTTTCTTTTTATTTTATTTTGTGAAACTGTACAAACTATAACATTTTCATTTTAATATTTTGTTACATACGAGAACTTTTTTTTAGACATCTGAAGATTTTATAGTCACCCCAAGCTTATTGTCAACAAAATATAACATGGAGATTCTCCCACGTGAGTTGCACGTGTAAGGTTGTTGAAGTTTATTACATAGTTACAATAATCTCAATGTACTGTTTTAGGAATTTGCTAGAAGTCCCCTAATGTAATTTAATTTGCGTTTATTTAATTTTTTGTTTCTTCTCTCTTTGTTCAATTTACAAAAATACCTCCATTTTATTTAGTAGTAAGAAAGATAATAATTACTACTTCAAAACATTGCCGCGATTACATGGATGAATACATATAGAGCAGTGGCGAATCCAAGATTTTATTCAAAGGTGTTTGAAATGAATGTAATACTAATACGGATATAAATGATGCCTAATAAATATGATAGACTAAAAATTATGGGAATTCAAGGGAGCGCCCCTTATTTTTTTTAATAATAACGTACATTTAAAATAATAAAAATAGTAAAAGAAAATCTATATGAACAAACAATCGTTTGCAATTTTTTGGAGAATGTTAGAAACATTTAGAAAGATTTTGAGAGGGAATTGGTGAAAATATAAATGAGTAATTTTGTATAATGTGCAAAAAATTAAGATTTTGTACCTCACAAGTACAAGCGAATTCGATTCCAAAAATTTATCACATGTAAGTCTATATAATAGATAATTATTCAAGGAATATTTAAAATTGACAGACAATTTCATAAGTCGCTATCAATTTTCACAAGTTCACTGTCATACTATGAAAAAGACACTTAATTATCGTACATTAAGCTGTCAATTTTCATTCAATTTTCAAAAGTTAACTATCATTTTTTAGATGTTCATATCATATTACTTACAATATTCAATTTTCCATAATTTTGCAATCAATTTGCAACTAATATTCAGCTTTTTTTCCGCTGTTTTAGGTTATATATGCTACCATTTTAATTTGTTCGAATTTTCCACATTTATTAAACTCCGACAAACACATAATGAAACATAAATAAAAAAACAAAAATATAACTAACAACAATAAATTAACATGTCTCTCCTCTCATTATAACTAAATAACAAAGTAATTTCATCCACAACTCTAAAGAGTCCACATGCAAATGTTTCATTATGTAACAACAAAGAGTTATTCAAATGACCTCCAACCAACTATTATCAAAGAACATTAAAACACTTCAAAAGGTTGTCTTGCCAACTTCATTCACCTACCTCAACAAACTAGATATGTAAAACTCCAAAAATAATTTTAACTTCCAAATTGAAATGGAATTAATTAATCTTTTTTAGTAGTAACATTAATTTGAGTACATAAAAAAAAAAGAGTATTATCAAGTTTTATGTATTAGGGTAAATTACAACCGGTAAGGTCTGTTTACGAAAAACTTCCCTCATATTTTCACAATACATCCAACCAGTGCAATTTGTAGATTTCTTACATTAACGTCCTTTTGTATGGGTGGACGTAAAAAAATTACAAACTGCAGGGGACTAGATGTAATTTTTAGAAAATAAGGATTTTTTGTAATTACTTACTACCTCATGGGTGGTTGTAATTAATTACCACTATTATATAGTTCATAAAGTTGGATAAATACAAGGTTCAAGTCCCTTTGCTAACGATCGTTAGGTCGAGCTTGTCACACATGGTTAGCCTAATGTGGTTTACGTCTCTCGTATGGTTTGCAAGCTATTACACGAGAGTGTAGGTTTACCCAGCGCACCTATATGATTGACTGTGGGTTCCTTCATTACAAAAATAAAAATATAAAAAATAAAGTTGGATAAAATAATACATACGGTAAATTTGGAACCGTGAATGCCTAAAATTATTGGGAGCTAAAATATCAATTCTAGATAGACAAAGGCGGAATTAGGACTTTTCGGTTGGGGGTCGAGAATATGAGACGCTTAATTAATATGTATTGGGAAGTTTGCGTAAATTGTTAGGGATATTTATGAAGAAAAATAAAATTACAAAAATAAGTAAATATTTAAGATACTAATAAAATAAATTATAGTACAGTATCTATGCAATGTGATCATTAGAATACCTTAGAGTAGATATTAGTAATGTACGAGGATTAGTTGAATGAGTAGAATAAAAATACTAACAATCTCATAATAGATAGAAATTCGATAGATTGAATTTAAAACATTGCAAAGAACGTAATCTGACAAATGACAAATAGTTTATTGTTTTATGTTAAATTATATTTTTCTTGAGTTTTAGTAAAGATTATAAATTGAGATTGTGAGCAATAATTATGATAGTTAAATTTTAAATAATTTTGGTATGAGACATAATGTTTTCTATTATTGCCTTCTTTAGTAGATACGCGTGGAGCTCAACTGCCTTCCAGAATGCAATTACCATTCCTACCCGGTTACCCTAACCCGAAACCCGAACCCAAACCCGACCCGAACCCGTTCGTATTCCCGATCCCCCAACTTTTATCGAAGAAAAAGGAAAGAGTAAAACGAAAGAAGCACTTAATTAAAGTGAAGAAACGGTGGGGGTAAAAAAAAAAAAAAAAAAAAAAAAGCTGCCAAAAACCACCACCCGCCATACCCAAACCCTCCCCCACCGCTTTTCCAGCTTCTTCCTCCATTATCCATTTCCCCCAACAAATCCACATTCCCCCTTTTTCTTCTTCAATAATTTTTTTTTTTTTTTTCTGAGAAACAAAATTGAAAATTAAATAATCAAACGGATTCGATCTAATTGAAATTTACAGGAAAAATTCCCGGTGAATTGCACCAATTTCCGGTGGTGTTCGATTGAAATCTCTGAACCTATGTGGCTCAGAAGATCCAAAACAAGAGCTCGTGTCCACAACGCGCCGGCCCCCAAATTCGCCTGCTCCTCCTTCAAGGATGTCCACACTCTCCTCCTCGACGATGAACCCGCCGGCGGCGGCAGCCCTGGGAGTAGTCTCGAATCGCCAACGAAGCCTTCAATCTGCCACCGCAGCCGTAGCGTTAAAACCCTCATCCGCACCCTATCCCAGCCCGCACCGCCGGAGGAAATCCGGATCCCGGGGGCGGAGCAGACGGTGGTGGTGTACTTCACGAGCTTGCGGATCGTCCGGCGCACCTTCGAGGATTGCAAGGCCGTCCGATCCATCCTGCGGGACTTCCGCGTGTCGATCGACGAGCGGGATCTATCGATGGACTCCGGATTCATGGACGAGCTCCGGTCGATCCTCGGCCAGTCGCCGGAGAAGAACTCCAAATTGACGCTGCCCAGGGTATTCATCGGCGGGAGGTACGTCGGCGGGGTGGAGGAGGTGCGGCGCCTCCACGAGAGCGGGGAGCTGAAGAAGCACGTGGAGGGGCTACCCGCATCGGAGCCAGGCACGTGCGGCGCGTGCGGAGGGTACAGATTTATCCTCTGCGACGAGTGCAGCGGGAGCCACAAGTACTACAGCGAGAAAGGTGGCTTCAGGAGTTGTACCTTGTGCAATGAGAATGGTCTCGTCAGGTGCCCTTCTTGTTCCTGTGCACCCCTATGATATGAAGCACCCCCTTTTTCCCTTTTTTCTTCTTAGATTATTACATGTTAACCTCTTAATTACTACTAGTATTAATTAATTAATTAGTTAATTAATTATGATTATTAGGGTTTGTTTACAAATCAATTAGCTCTTTCCATGCAGCTTTTAATGTGAGATAAGGGCTTTGCTTTATTCTCTCTTTTATCTTCTGTCTTGATTTTTCTACTTAGTTCTTTCCTGCAAAATTTTGTGGCAAAAAAACATTAATTAAAAGAAATTTATCAAGAAAACAGAGTTTAATCATCATAATCATGTATGTTGTGTTTTCGAGTTTTTGGAATCTCGAGAAATTGTTAGTGACTTGTTTGTTTCGAAAGACAAATATTTTGGATTTGTGAGCTCGATTCGATAGCTGGCTGTATGGATTTGTTGTTATTATGAACTAAACATGTAATTGTTTGCTTTTCGTTTCTTTAGTTGCGACCAATACTTGCTCGATGAGTCCGTATTGTTCTGTTATTTTCGCTCTTTACGCTGCCGTTTTTTTTTTCGTTTAGTAAGTTTTCTTGGAAGATGGTATAGTAATGCTAGATATAGAAAGATGTGTTTTTACTACACATTTTGATTTGAAGATTGCTTCTTACCCCGTCTCGACTCTGTTTCAACTTTGAGATTTTATTTATTTGTTCCTCTCTTTTTTGTTCGTTTTTTGATGAGTTGAACGCACAAAAAAACTCCTGCGTGTTGGATTTTGATTACATATGCATGTACTTGTTGAAGCTATGAATTTGAGAACCGATGTACTATTCCAAGATTTTTTTTGCAATGAATACTCTAGGCGAGTGATTTTACCAGTATAAATGGGTTTCGTTTGTGATTTAAGTTCGAATCCATGTGCTGGAGTTGAATGAAAATTCTCCATGACCTTGCGGTTAGAAGATGGTTATTCTATTCCAACAGTTGGCTGTTTTATTTAACATACTTGAGTCAGCACAGTTTAAACCTGGAATTTCGACTTTCAAATGTGTGCTCAAGCCTCAATTGAATCCTAATTTAAATTTTTACGCCATACGCCTTTGGAAAATCTACTTCTGGAACATCCAGCCACGGTGGGGCCTCAGCCCTGATTGCAGGCATAGCTGGTGGTGCTTGGCGGTAGCGGTTGGGAGGAGGAGCAACATGGCATTCTCAATCGGGAAATAGAGGCTCGAATCTTGGAGGCATGGTCGTGTAGTTTGGTTGGGACTATCTTCGAGCTCTGTGGAATCAACTTATGCCCGTGTGGAGCAACGGACAAATGAACATGTCAGCCCTAATCTGATCGAAATTACGAAAATAAATCGGATGCTTGGATAAACGCTGAAAATTTAATTTTTTGACAAAATGTTTGACACACAAACGACACCGTTCAATGCACCTCAAAATGTTTTTTGTGTGCACCGGATACCCTTGTAAATGACTAGGGCACTGAAATAACTTATAGATACATAATTGGTTATTTGTAAAATATATAATAAATTAGGGTAAATTCTACTTTCCCTTGCACCAAAAAGGCGAAATCTCTCGTTCCCAGGGCCCAATCCCTTGGTCCGACAAGGGTTGATGGATGAATGTAAATAATGGTAACTAGCGGACCCGGCCCGTTAAGATGGAGCTTCAACATATAATTGACCTGCACCAGAAATTCTATGATGTTTGAGAAGAAATGACTTTAAAATTCGAATTCCAAAGCTCCCAAAGTGGGTTCCGAAAATCAGAGTAACAACAAGTTTGATTTTCAAAAATTCCTTTGAAGCTACTGTAGAACTAAAATCAGTTTCAACAAGGGTTCTAAGAATTGAGAAAAAATAAGTATTCTAACAGTATACAGCCTATTCTATAATCTTTATGAAGAAACGAAATTGAAATTCGAATTCAAAATACCTCAAATCGAATTATGAAATTAAAGTAGGCTGAATAATTTAAACCTTAGCTTCTTCTTACTTCTTATTTCTTCCTATGGTTTTTGATACTCAAACCTACGTTATTTCCTTGATTGCTAAGTTTCTAATTTTATTATTTCTACTTGTACCGCAGATTTATCTATTAATAACACTTCAACCACTTAATTCTCACTATATTACTATATTACTCTCATTAATGAATAAACTTCAATAATATACATGTATTATTATACCACATAATAAAAATTAAGGGGTGCTACATTTAGGATATATATTAACAAATATTTGGCTGATTTGTTAGGATATGACAAAAAAAAAAAAAAATTGAATTATTAGATAATATAAAAAAGGGGTTATTTTACATAACCCCCTAGCCACTAAATAAACGAGGGATAAACCCAAGCACAAATCATCCTTTGACATACCCCCCTGGGGAAGCGAAAATACTAAACTACCCTTATGTGCAATTTTCGGCCAAACTGCCCGGAGTCGCATTGCTGACCAAAAGTTAA